TGTGCAAGTTAGATCAAATGGATGCTGCTATTTTATTTAACTGAATTAGGGTGAAATAAGTCTCAGGATGTTTAGAAATCCTTTCTGTGTCTTTGCTGAGTCTCCACATGGCTGCGCAAGGAGCTGAGCAGTGTTCACTCCACATACTTCCAGTGGTTCTAAGTGCAGTGCTTTTTTTTGGGCCAGCTGATAACTAGATTACCTGTTATGCTATTTCTGTAGAGAAAAATAAGAAGAAATCACAAAAACATGAACGTGTCTAATCTTTCGTCTGAAAACAATGGGAATACTCTACAGTATTCTTCGCGTAAACCTGAAGTATTCACTAAGGCAGGATGTTAATTCCATTTTATGACTGCTGGTAAATGCAAGGCAGAGAATACACATATATCCATCCCAGAACATACATTAGCAAATTTCACAAGTGTTTTAAGAATGTCAGATGACTGAAAGCAAAAAAATATGAAGTGTATTTTTATGATTTTCAAGACTGATAATTGTTTTAGTGTCTCAGTTTCCATACAACTTCTCCAACTAAATAAAAAGCCCTGGCTGGTACAAAGAACTTGGGAACATGAAAAGTGTCTTCAATTTCAAACATGGCTTCTGTTAACCAGAAGCTACCCAAATTCTGTTTTAGGAAAATATTGATAAAATCTGCTTGGTTAGTTAGTAAAAAGGTATTAGAGTTAGTCTGCAAACCACAAATGCATCATCAATATGACAAAATTAGTTGTATTAGTAAAAACCAACCGAAGTATTTCTATTTTTACTGTGCTAAAGACTGTGATTTCCCAAAGCGTGTTTTTAATACCTAAGGGATATTTGACAGAGGGTGTGGGAACAAGCCATTATGAAATCTACGTGGTCTAGCATCTGCAGCTGAGCATACCTGATGGCTGGGGTAATGATGGGAGAACTACCAGTGTTTCATGTTGTGGTGGTTTAACTTTGGCTAAATGCCAGGTCCCCACCAAGTCACTCTATCACTTCCCCCCCTTTCCCCTTGTTTTCTCAACAGGGCAAAGAGGGGAAAGAAAATAAGACAGACCAACCCTTGTGGGTAAAACAAAAGCAGTTTTCATGTAAGCAAAGTGAAGCAAAGGTCTGTGTGTGGAAGCAAAAAAAAAAGAGACCAGATTTATTCTCTCCTTCCCATGACCAGGCACTGTCGGGCCTTCTCAGGAGCAGGGCTCCCATACCCGTAGTGGTTGCCTCGGAGGACCAAGGGTGACCCCACCCCCTTCCTCCTTTCTCCCAGCTTTACACTGAGCAGACGGGACATGGTCTGGAATATCCCTTTGGTCAGTTCGGGGCAGCTGTCCTGGCTGTGTCCCCTCCCAAGATCTTGCCCCCCCGTCCCACTGGGGGAAATGTCGGGAAGAGCCTTGGTGCTGTGTAAGCGCTGCTCAGCAGCGGCCACAACCCCAGGGTGCTGCCGACACCCTGCCAGCTCCCAGCATAAACCACAGCGCCAGGAGGGCTGCTGTAGGGGAAAAACAATTCCGGCTCAGCCAGACACAGTACACATGTAAAGATGTGAACTTATATTCTGTCTGAACTCTCTTAGGGGTAAAGATCTTGCAATTTACTACCAGAGAGCTTTGCAGAACTTTCCCCATACTTAAAAGGAACTCTTAAGTGCTTGTGTAATAGAGTTATAATGATTAACTATACAGCATACATTGAGGTGTAGAACAAAACTTTAGGCTAAGAAAAAGACAAATAGGTGACTGCAAAGAAGTACAATAATTCATCTGAAAATCGTACTAAAGAGGGAAGCAGCTTCTGAGCAAATACAAAACTTCTCACAGAAACATAAGATTAACTCGTAACTAGGTTGGTCTACATGGTGTTTAGCTGTTTTACTCTTTGATACTCTAAAGAGTAGGATTTGCAATAGGACTATTAATCAAAGTGATGGAAGAATAAAATCTTCACACTAAGCCAGGAAGGCATCAAGTCAATATCAAAATCATAACATTTTAAGTTAAAGCCGTCTATCTGGACTTTGGAAATGTTTAGACTACACAACCAAATGTTAGAAACCAAACATTTGAACTAAGCTGATAACAAATGATCATTAATTAAGACTGAAGTCAACAATCTGGCACTGAAGAAATTTCTAGGACCCTGAGCCAAAAGTCTAAAGTAAGATGTCCAAAGTAAGTTCATAATAATTAATCATCAATTTGAGATGAGATAAGCTCACTAGAGGAAGCCAAACATGGTTAATACAGGGGACTACAGGCAGCCTGTATGATAAATATTAATTTAGCTTCTGAGAGGGAGGCTGAAGGGGACTCAGGATTCAGCTAATTTAGGACTGTTTTTTCTAATTAGATAAACAGTAATTTAGAGCCGAGACTATTAACTATTATGGATGTTGTCAAAGATTTATACTGAGATGGCAGCTAACTACCAAACCCAGCTGTCGAATCCAGTTGTGCTAGGCTGTATCCCAGCACATGTTAGTGCCAGCCCTTGCTCCACCTACCTCGTAGTCTACAGCACAGCAGTTTATTGCTACAGGAGAAGTACAAACAGCCTCAGTAATAAGGTAATAAACACAAGTGGGATGTGCTCATTTCATAGCCATCCAGTAGCAAAGGTCTCAGCAGCTAGGTTATGAGCAGAGCATGCTCTGCTGGGCACTGGGGATTTTCAAGGGACAACCCATGGGCTGCTGGTTGTCTGCAAGGCACAGAGAAGTGGGTGCTAAAAGCAGAAGCTGCACGTATCACTGGTTCTTCCCCTGTGTCTACTTCTGCCCTATGCAATGATTCCCAGTTTCTTTTCATTATCTAGTGTCCTTCAAAAGCTTCTTGAAGGGACAGTTGTGTATAGGTTAGAAGACGTAAGTGGGGAGCTGAAGGAGGACTCTGAAGCGACATAATTTCTCTTGAGCTTTTTCTGCTGCAGGAGGTAGCCCTGGAGAAAAAGTTGCCCGTGTGCTATTTATATAAGCTATGTGTGTGGTACACTCGGTATCCTCCTGCTTCTCTTCCCCAGGACAGTGTGACATGTCCCTGTGGAGCTGCTGGCTGTGCCTGAGCAATGCTTGCAGCCTTGTTGTATGATGATTCAGGCTTGGGAGTGGCCCAAGACTACCCTTCTGCAATCTCTGTAGATCGTCCCAACCTGGCTCTTGGAAAATGCAAGCAGTGGGTAGTAGTGGCTGCTGGCAGGGAGGTGTGAGGTGAAGTGAGAGGCAGCTGGAGAGAGCCAGAGACAGGGCAGGAGCAGGGAGCTGGGGTATGACATACCCACTTCCACCCAGCAGCTGGGACCTCACTTGGTGCTCTCGCAACACGCCGTGCGGACTGGGCTGTTGTGGTGTGTTGTGGTGGGAGCTCTCCCACCAGAGATGGGATGTGCTCCTCCGGCTCTCCCGTGTGGTTTCACCTCTCCATTCCCAATATGTCCTTGATACTGTAAACAACATCGTTCAGAGAAATAATTCCTCCCTCAAACCGTGTCTTAATTCTCAGTCGCGCATATCATAATGGCCCTTCCGCAACACATTCTCTGCACCAACAGAAACTGCTGCTTGAAGAGGAGACTCTGCCACATTTTTTGGTTATGAATCGCCCCTCTCGCTTCTCTCAGCGATAAGCAGCTCCTGCAATATCCCAGGCCTGCACCGTAGATGGCGGTGTGCAGTTACTTTCCTTGGCATATTTACCTATTTGCTGGTTTCCTTGACATTTGCTGGAAAACTACTTCACTCAGTAAACAGCAAAAACGATAACATCTGAGACTATATTTAAACACTACTAATTTCACATCTGAAATAGGAGTATTTGTTAAGTGTTTGCTGTAAACTTTAATGTATCATAAATCCAGTTGTTTTTATAGGTCAGAACCCAGAAGAAATCTAAGCAGAGAGGCTGAAATGTAGATAAGCAGAAGAAAATCTCCTCCAGCTGTTGCATATAAGAATAATAATTAATACTTAGAAGTACAGTTATTAATTCCCCAAACACATGACTACATTCAGCCTGTGTGAATACTTTAAGTCAAATTCAAAAGCAAAGGCTTTAAGCGAACATTACTGCTCTCCAAAATAACTAATGTGTTCACCAAAACATTTTACGAATCAACTCATGGTTCTTTAAAGATTTAGTCCTTTTAGGTTTACTACATGGCAGAGCATAGCCTGTACTAGTTCTGTATTCAAAGATGTCTTCCTACTATTTTTTTTTCTTGAGTAACAATCAGACTTCACAACTGCATTGCACCTACATGGTGTTTGTGTACCCTGCTGTTTGTGTCACTGAAGTACAGTCGATGTCAGCCAGGAGGGTTGGAGCTGACTTTTGTTCCCTAAAGCTGGGCTTCAGGACAGTCATCTGATGACTAGCAACTAAGCATATAGGAAGAGATAAAAGTTTTGTTCCTTGTCCCAGAGATTTTATCTCCCAATTAGGAAAATTGGTGTGGAGACCAAGATGAGAAAGGGCAGAGTGTGCATGGGACTGTCTGGCTTGAGCAGAAGTCAGTCCCAGGCTGACTCAGGAGCCCCTGAAGAGCCCCTAGGTCCAATGTTGCTGTGCAAGGCTTTTGCCCCCCACTCCAGCAGAGCCATAAGCAGAGGGAATATTAGGTAAGATGACTATAAATCACACTAGTGGCTGTCTGCTAAAAGTTCTCCAGTGAAAATATTTCTTGCATGATTAAGCACTGCAAACCAACCCAATCCCTCTCGATCTGAGGCTTGAGCAGCAACAGCAGGCTTGTGTTAGTGACACCGAGTTACTACTGAGAGCACAGTTACTGCACTTGCACACAAAGATGGAGGTGCAAGTGGTCCAGGCCCATCAAGGAGCAGATATGACATTTGAAAGTCACTGCTTGTTAAACAGCAGTGAGAGAAGAGCTGTTCACGGACATTGTGCCAGAGGACACTGCAAGGCAGTCCACCTTGCAGGCACCCTCCAGCTGGGGAAAGGCAGCTGTTCACATGAAGGAAGGTGCTGTGGGGGGACAAGCACTGGAGTATGTATGTCATCTCTCCGACTAAAGCAAGGGAGGCTCGTCAACTAACAGAAGAGGTTGCTCCAGGGGAGAACTGTGGTGGGGCACAAACACAGACCGTGCCTGGCACTACTGAATCAGGTTTGTGATGATGGTAAGAGCCAGTTTACAACTTACCAACTTGTTTGAGGATGACAGATCTCATGAGACAGCCAAACAGAGCAGCCAAATTTGGAAGAACTGTGATGAGACCTGAGTGAATCAGGTGAGTGGGCAACACAAAGGCAAATGTAATGCAGTGCCTGCAAATACAGGGTACTACCGTTTAGAGAGGCACATTCAGACTTCAGTTTAGACACTTTACAGGAATTTAAGCTCACTGTATAATTTCAGAAAAAGGACAGCTCAGTGAAGACATCTGCTCATTGTTCAGCTGCTGTCAAAAAAATTGCCAGCAAAATATTTTGGAAAGAGTATTAGTGTGCCTGCTCTACGACTTGAGTTAAAGCCAGCCCCCAGTTATTACTGATACAGAGTTGAAGGCTATTATGTATTGGGCTGACTAGATAAGACCTCTTTCCTGCACATAAATCGTTTGGGTAAATTTCAGGACTGTGCACTTCAGACCAGAATCCTCAAGAATTTCCTCTCTGTACACCCTGAACAACATGTGCCTAACAGCTTGCTCACTGCACCGGGGAGGTGGAGGTGGTGTTGCTGCAGGGCTTTATACCTCCCCTGAAGCTGTTACTGATGGCCAGAGAGATTACTTTAGATTAGGTAAATGGCAGGACCCATCTGGATTGGGATCCAGAAGCACAGCATATCAGAAGAAACAAGCAGTTGAGCACCACTTGCACCAACTCTGCTGCTGGTCCAAAAGGCACTAGGTTGACCCAGTCACCTGCTAGGAGCTGAGGCAAAGCTCTTCCTAAATCCTACCCACCTGCAGCCAGAACAAATCATATGTGTTCAGTCTTTAAACTCACCCAATCTTTCATTCACTGATTAGATTATCATAAATATGGATCTAATTTATGTCATCAAACGCTGATTTTTTCAGACCTGCAATGTCTTGGGTACTTTGGGAAATCTGCTGTACATAGGAAATGTTAAGAGTCTGTACCAAGGACAGGACGGATACAATGAATGAACAAAACGTAACTATCTTTTATGAACATTCAATGTGATAAATGCAAACCTTAATGGGTGGCTCTCAGTTGGGTGCAATGTAGCCTGAGGCAATGCATGTGGAGAACCTGAGGCAGAGGAACAGAGGGAATGCTCCCATGTTCAGAGATGCACAACTTGGCCCTAGTTTTTAGCACTGGATAGCTGCTATTTAATGCTCAGAATAAATAGGTAACAGCAGTAATATAAGCATTTAAAAAATTCCTGTTTGTACTATTAAAATATTTAATTGAATTATCTAATTGGTTGATGATTGAAGTGTCAGGGAACAGTTTAGTTTATCAGGTTTAGTGCTATGAAGGAATTATTCTTTTAGATCCAGAGGATCCATTGCTGAGTTATTTGTGTAGAACTTTGATGTGTTAAAAATAATCTACTGGTGCTAGACATTAATATATCCTACAGAACTAGTTCTCCCATAGCTCTGTAAATGATGCATCTTACTTGAGGCTTAAGGCACTCTATAACCAGTCCATCTGGAGATTTCTTTACCTATTAATTGTCAGTTATTCTCATGCTTTAGTTTCATAATAATAAAAAATAAACTGCATACTTTTAAACTTAGGCACATATTTATTAGTCATTCTGTTAATTAAGGTTTGAAAAAGTGCTCTCATATTCAGGACTATTTATTTAAAAAAAAAATGCATCGGTATGTATTTACTTTTTCTTTCTGAATATTCAAATTTTCTTTTTCTTGGTGCGAGTGAAAAAAAAAACAAAAAAAACCCCAAACCAATTGTCTTCATCCCCTGGCAAGTACGTTTTCTTTCTACACTAAAATGTCATGTTCTCTCACATCCTTTCACTTTTTTTTGGTCATTAATTCTGTTGCAAAGAAAAAGAAATGCACACTCTGCTACAGAGCAAAGCAGGTCTGACTGATGCTATCTCTCTCCCCTGACCTTTCTGTAGCACTGTTCATTAATATGACTATACCACTAAATCTTGTGTTTGGGGGATTAGGGAATTGCATGGCAATAGCATATTGAGCTTTCCACCTCTAGTTGGTAAGTTTTGGTAAGGTTGTTAGAAAACACAGTTATTAACTATCAATAACTTACTCTTTCTCTATAAATTACAGAAAAGGAGCCAAATTATAGCTGATCAACATTTTCCAGATGAAACTGGTCAAAATGTGGCCATTTCTCAATCTTGGGTTTTTTTTTGTTTTTGTCAAAACATTTCCCCATGTTCAGTTCTCTCAAAGTAGCTGTTGCAAATACAGTAAACCAGCCATTTTTACACTTTATTTTTTTTACTTTTTCTTTAGGATTTTATTGGCTATGGTTGTTGGCAAGAGTTGGTGGTGTAATTACTTACTGGGTTTTTTTTCAGAACTGAGAAATGTTGCTTGGAGAATTTGTTTCTGAATTCAACAGCACAGGAACTTCTGGTTTAAAAGCAAATTAAACACCTCTTCAGAAAACCTTGCTTGGTAGCCATAAGACAGGCTATTTTTATCTGCAGCTGGAGTGAAGGAAAGGTAATTGCACATCCTATAATATCACCAAGTCCTATCTCTTCTGGACATCTGTCCTTGCTCTCCTACTCCTAACAGCTCTATGTGTGCCTGGATGCTGAGACAGAGCAGAGAGCTCTGCTGTGGTTGAATAGAAGAGATACATTCAGTGCACGTTAAGTTACTGTACATAAGCAAATATCTTCATGTTTTGTGACATGGTCTATACAGCTCAAGTGTAAGACAAGAGTGATCTCCTAAAGGATAGATAGGGTGTGGATGGGATAATATGTCCCTTGAACAGGGATGACTGCATTGCTGGCTTGAGAATGTCTTCTGCTCTTGATGCCTTAGAAGAATAATGATTTCTGAAGTCTGAACCTAACTCCTCCACCTAACAGTGCTACAGATTTCAAGGGAACATTGCTGCGATATGCGTATATACATATCAAGATACCAGTAACCCAACAGCCTACTTCTTGAGTGAGCCCTGCGGCATTTATAGGGTGATTAATCTCACTTAGTTTGACAGTCATTAGGCTGAGATACCCTGGCTTCTACATTTTTCTCCAAAAGCTGTAACTGTCTTTCTCCATGGGTTAGTTGTAGGTGAGCATAAGAGGTGCTGCTTTTAATAGCTGGCCCACATAACCTTACCCCTCAAGTATTCCTGAGGGACTTCAGAAAATATGGTGATATTCCTGACTGGTGTGAAAAACAACACAGTGCCAGTCAAACTCCAGAAACATTTATTCAGAAATAAATCATAACAATTTGTCAGACCTGCAGCTCCCAACCCAAAACAGATTAGAATGATCAGATATGAAAGGATACTGAAAAAGAAGCAGGGCAAAAGAAAGAAGAAAAGAACCACATTTCCTCTTGACTCAGTCAACCAAAACACACTTTGTGGGTTTCACAGGTCTGTCTTAATTTGTTGATGTAGGCAATGGGATGGGTCTCTGCAGCCAGAGCTGAAGCGCAGACTGGAGACGTGGCGGGAGCCTCCTCAGGGCATGGGACTGAGGCACATCCAGGCTGTGAGTTGTGTGTGGCCTGGCAGGTGACAGGGATGCGTGTGGCCTGGCAGATGGCTCTCCCAGCAAGGTGGTTGTATAAAGGGCTTAACAACCAGCCAAGAATAAGGATATAGCTTTAGAGAACAGTGTACAGGGTTTTATTCAAAAAGTCCTTATGTGCTTAATGAAGCAACTCATGTAGCTAAAGGGTTTGCAATTTAGATAGTACATTTAAAATTTTTTTATTTTTTAAAGGAAATTTGCTTGCACCAGGCTGTTTTTAGAAGCTGGTAACTCAATTAAGCCTTTATGTTCTCTGAAATTCAAGACCATATTTAATGAAGAGCCAGAGTGAAATGACCAGTCCTGATGGTTACCCCAAGCAAGATCTGAGCTGAGCCTATCAATATCCTAGTCAAGATAGAAGTGTGCAATTATTTAGGAGTGTTTGGAAGATCCAGTCCCTGCTCAGACTCTAGTAGCCAAGCCAGAGTCCCAGGGTTTTACTAACACTGGTAGTGTCTGCCTGAAATGGTAATACAATTAGGTCTCATGGGTCACTGAATATTTTGTAGTCTAAAGGAACCCCAAAAGTATCATAGTGAAAACAGGAAAAAAAGGCCCAAACCCAGAAAAATGAGTGTAGTAAAATTACTAGTAGGAACTATGAATTTGTTTAAGGGGATTTTAATACCTTGTTTTACATTCAATCAATTTGGTAGAAGTGTGGTAATTACTGCAGATATGGATATCATGATTTCAGAGGACATTTAAGAAAAAATGTTGGATCTTGCACTGAAGCAGATGAGGAGTGCTATAATGTGCTCTCCCCATGGATTTGCTGTGGGGACAGTAAGCAAACTTCAGTAAATAATGCCTTAAACTACCAATGAAATTATCTTCTCTGCCTGTTATATGCCTAACCTCGCCTTCATTACTTTTAATGCTGTTTATAAACAACTGTAATCACAGCAATAGCTACATGGGGTTTTAAAAACAATGTTTTTCATTCAAAATTGATGATGGCACATCACCTGGTAGCTGGAAGGCTTCATCTAAGAATAAGTAATAAGCAAAGTCGGCATGGGTACTTTACAGGAATGTTACCCAACAAAATACAGTCTAAGTGTGGAACTCCTAGACATCTGATGTCTTCAGACTGCAGATGGAGGACGCTCACCAACAGTCTGCATGATATTTTTTCCTGTATTAATTATTTGTGGGTTTAGTTTAAAGTAGGTAACATAAATAGATGAAAATGAATCTGCTGGCATCTCAGATTTTTAAAGGATGTGGTTATAGAGATGCAACCTTTACAAAGGGGAGTAGAGCAAAAGTTGTTGTCTCTCTGGGTCAGACAACGCAGTTCATCTTCAGTAGAGTCCCATCACATTCTGTAAACTGCATGAGTATTCCAGAGAAAGCAAAAAATAAGCACAAAGAACTCAGTTAAGACCTCAGCAGTTCACAGGAAAACTGCCCACGTATCCTCAGACTTTTAAGGTTGGCTGTAAGAGCAGTACCTGAAATCTGCCTCTGATTTTTTTTTGGCACAAGTGAGATAAATCCACACGAGTGAATGAAATTCCATTTATCCACACAAAAATAAACCAACCATATATGCACTTTCAAGAAAATACTTAAGCCCCTACAGGACTTTTCTTGCAGGATGGGGCAATTTGGGATTCAAAGAAAGAGGGGGCAATTAGGGATTCAAACAAAGAGAAGGGCCATTGTATCAATCTGGTGGACACCCTGTACAGCTGCCATCAAGCACTGTCAGTTTACACGAGGGGAGCAGAGAGTAGCCTCTGCCTAAAGGAGGACACAAACTTTTTATTAACAGTCTAAGCACTAGAGATGCAACACAGAAGATACAAATCAAGGTCAAAATCTTTGCCGATACCTACAGTTTGGGAGGCACCCCCCCCCCCCCCCCCCCCCCCCCCCCCCCCCCCCCCCCCCCCCCC